GTGTGCAGAAGGGCACTGAGAAACTGCTCTTTCTCTCAGAACCATCAGCTGCAATCAGCTATTGCTGAGGCTGAGGAGCGGGGTGAGATGGCCCTGAAGGACGCCAGGAGGAAACTGGAAGAGCTGGAATGCGCCCTGAGCAAAGACAAAGAGGAGCTGGCTCGCTTGCTGAAGGAGGACCAGGCGCTGCTCAACATCAAGATCGCGTTGGACGTTGAGATTGCCATGTACAGGAAGCTGCTGGAGGGAGAGGAGAACAGGTAAGAACTCCCATCATGTCCTGCCTGAGGTACTCTCACTCCTTGGAACAGGCTGAGGTTTAATCATCTCTTTTCCAAGCCCATTTATGCTTAGAATCTTCCAGTTTTTCCTCAAGTTTTTAAGCCTAAAATAGCAAGGTGGTCCCACAGGGAACATTCCTCAGTGGTTTTGGTTACATTATATACAGCAAGAGATAAGAGGAGCAGCTGGAGGTTGTGTGGAGCTGAGTTGCTATTAGATCAGATTTACAACTTGTGTTCTGCCTACACAGTGTCTGTTTCGATAACCCATCCAACGTCAATGTCTGTAAGTATCTGTCCATTGTCTCTTCTGCAGAATGGCTTTTACCTGGGTTTCATGAGGGGCCCCAGGCAGTCACTTGATGTTCACTGAGCCTGTCCTTGTCTTGCAGCTGTGGTAGGCAGAGGCTCCGTGGCTGGAGGCAGACCCTGTGGCTTTGGCCCTAGCAATGGCCTGGGAGGAGGAGTGTGTGTGGTCGGAGGAGCAAACATCATCGGAGGCAACTGTGGCATGGGAGGACCAATACTGACCAGCGGCTTCTCCTCTGGAAGCGGGAGGATTTGCAGCCCCGGAGGTGGCAACTTCATGGCCGGGGGTGGATCCTCCTCAGTGCGGAGATGCGTCACCACCACAACAGTCAAATCTTCGGGTGTAAAATACTGAGCCCTGACCTCAGTCCCACCGAGGAAAGCAGCACTGTCCCCTCCCTCCAGCCTGCAGCATGGCCCCTGCCACCCTCACCGGTGTCCAGCAACGAAATGAACTGTTTCCCCTGTAGCTCAGAGCCTCCTGAAGTCACCCTGCCCAAGGTGGGGGTCTGCAGTGGAACCTGGCTCCTCTCGGAGCCCCACCAGCTCCAGGGGTGGAAGATCTCCCCTGTGGGTTCCAGCTTTCATCTGAGCATCTCTCGCTGCGCTTCTTGCCGCTACCCCCGGCTGCTGCTCTGGCTGAGGAGGAGCGTGTCCAAAACGGCTCTTTCCTGTCACTTTTCAAGGTCTCCTTTTCAACGGCCGTGTGTCCCTTGCGCATCCGCGTGTCCTGCATGTCACCCACATGCTTGTTTCAGCTCTATCAGGCATTCATGTAAGCAGAAGAAACGTGATAATGTCTCATAGTCAGAGTTGGGAGTGAGAAACAGGTCTCTGAGATGTCCACCTTCCCTTGGTGGAGTAATTTGGCAGCTTTAATGTTTTATAGATCCCTTTCCCTCTTCTCCACACCTGACGTATGTATGGCCTTATTGCAGCCCTTCTGTTGCGTGAACCCTGCTGCATGGTTGCTTCCTACCAGCACCCCTCTCCTCCGTGTTCTTCATTACCAATAAACTGCAGACAGATGAAAAGATCTCTTTGTGTTGTCTTATCACTTAATGGTCCCCAGGGGAAGGAAAACACCCTTTGCTCTTCACCATAAGGCATAGCAATGGTGTCTTCACCATAAGGAATGGCAATGGTTCCTTCACATAAGGAATGGCAATGGTGATCTGTCCCATGTTTCAAATCACTGAGCACCAACTGCCCCACTGAGGTGAGGAGGAGGGAGATGGCTCATCTCCCTCTGCTTGCTCCTCATCAGTAGACTCCCCATCTCTCTGTGGGGTGGGAGAGCCATGGCTCTGAGGAATGTGGCACAGGAAGGGGACACATGATGTCAACCTGGTGGCCATGAGGTGGGGGGGATTGTGCTCATTCCACATAGAGCAGAATGAAGTGTCCAGCCCTCAGATGATGGGCACCACAGGAGCAGGCAGGCAGGGCCACCAGTGGGGACATTCCAGTGCCTGAAGGCGGCTACAAGGATGCAGAAGAAGGACCTTCATCAGGGGCTGGAGTGATATGACAAGGGGTGATGGGTTTAAACTGAAACAGGGGAAGTTCAGGATGGAGATAAGGAAGAAGTTTTTCCCTGTGAGGGTGCTGAGGCACTGGCACAGGGTGCCCAGAGGAGCTGTGGCTGCCCCATCCCTGGCAGTGTTCAAGGCCAGGGTGGACACAGGGGTTTGGAGCAACCTGCTCTAGTGGAAGGTGTCCCTGCCTGTGGCAGTGGGTTGGAGCTGGGTGAGCTTTAAGGTCCTTTCCAACCCAAAACAATCCATCATTCTATGACACTGTGGTTGGGACATGGCAGTGAATGGGAGCAGTTTGTTCATGGTGTACTGGATGTGATGGTTTGAACATGATGGTCTGAACATGATACTTGTGGCAGCTGGACTGGGGTAGTCTGCACATGGCTGTTAGGATGTGGTGGTTTGAACATGGCCGTTAGGATGTGACAGCTGGACTGGTATTGGTTTGAACATGGCTGTTGGGATGTGGTGGTTTGACTGGGGTTGTTTGAACATGGCCATTAGGATGTGGTGGTTTGAACATGACCATTGGGATGTGGTGATTTGAATGTGGCCATTGGGATGTAGTGGTTTGAACATGGCTGTTGGGATGTGGTGGTTTGAACATTGCAGTTGGGATGTGGTGGTTTGAATGTGGCCATTGGGATGTGGCAGCTGGACTAGGACTGGTTTAAACACGGCTGTTGGGATGTAACAGTTGGATGGCGGCAGTTTGAATGTGGCCAGTGGGATGTGGTGGTTGGAGGACACCAACTAGAGGTCTGCAGTGGGAAGAGTGGTGTCCTCCAGCCTCGGCTGGCACAAGGGCAAGCAGCACCATCTACCTGACAAGCCAGGCTCTTACATGGACACTGGCACCTGAAGGCGCTACATGGACACAAATTACTCATGAAGAAAAGCAGCGTGAAAGTATGAAACAACCTGGAACCTGCTTATTACAGCTTCAGGTTAGTCATTAGACCTCATAAATAACACCCCATTGCAGCCAGATTAATTTGATTAACACTTGGGTGGGTTCTTCTGCAGTGCTGGGAGGAGCGAGATCTGGGCTGGTGGGTGAATCAACCCCAGGTGCACTGAGCCCTGCTGCTGTCCTGGTGTAGCCCCCGTGTTTGTCAGATGAAGGTATGGATGTGGAGAAGATCCATCTGGCAGAGTCCTGCCCATTGAAATGAAACGAGGAAGAAATTACAGTTCTTACTTGAGCTAATGCCCCATCCCTGGCAGTATTTAAGGCCAGGTTGGACACAGGGGCTTGGAGTAGCCCACTCTAGTTGAAGGTGTCCCTGCCTGTGGCAGGTGGTTGGAACTGGATGAGCTTCCAACAAAAACCAGTTTGGGATTCCATAATTCTAACATTACTTTCATGCTGATCTTCTTTCCCCCCATATATTCTTTCAGTTGAATTCTTCATCTGATGTTTACAGCAGGCTGTGATGTGCCTCATTCTCTTGCTTGCCTAAACAATGACATTTCTGATTCTCAAGTTTATAGGCTGGGATGGGAGAGACCAAGAAGGCATCTCCTACTTCCTCATCCCAGCGAGAACTCCAAGGACAGACCAAGGTGGTACAAAGCCCTAGAGCACCCCTGGGGACTTCCTTGGGAGGATGGCAGAGAGGGTGAAGATCTCCAGTGTGCTGAACCCCAGGAAGCCAAGGATGCAGGCTGCATCCTGCAGGAAACCACAGGCTTTTTAGAAGTTCCCTGAGTTTTTCCTGGAGAAGGGCCAGGCTCTAACACAGTTTATCTTTCCCATCTGCTGTGCTCATGAAAAAGGCAGTAACACTAATTGCTCAAGTGCCTCACACTTGAATGGAAGATCACAACAGCCCAGTGGCCAGACTGCCCTTCATCTGCTCCATGTGGCACTGGGGTGGCTGCTCGCTCCAGTGGACCAGTAGATCCATATTTGCAGCAAAGGGGCCTGTTTTGCTTCAAATGAGTGAATTTACTTGTGAAACAGCCCGAGTGTGACCAAGAAATGACACGTCTACAGTGTTTCTAGATAGAGCTGTTGCTATTTTGGACATGGAAGATAAAAAATACAGAATTATTGTGGGTTTTGTTGGTTTGTAAGTTCTGGTTTTCTGCAGAAAAGGGCACAATCTGTGCTAATACAAAACTTGCCCCAGGAGCCTCCCTGGTATTGGGTTAGATGCTCATGGGAACCTGCCTGTGTCGTCAGATCAGTTTTGGCTTGCCAAGATTGGAGTTCACAGTGAGGTGGCAAATGTCTTACTCCTGGGTTTACCACTGAGCCTCCACCACTGAGCCCGAGTAACATGGGGTTGTGAGGTGCAGGCTGGGGTGGTGGATCTGTCTGGCCACCAACTGGTCTAGTGCAAGACCCACATGCCCTATGGCTTGGAGGGCAGATAGGTGCCACTGATGGGATGCAGAGCACTCTTCCTTCCACCAAGCCTTGCTGAGGTGGAATAGAAAAAAGATCTCAAAAGCCAAAAGCAAAACTGAGTGAATTCTGCAAAGGCCTTTGGGAGCCAAAGAGGAGCTTGGCCATGCACTGAAGGCATAGCAGGACTTGTTGAGTGTGAAGATAGCCCTGGATATTGAGGTTGCATGTGCAGGATGCTGCTGGAAGCAGAGGAGAGCAGGTAGGTGTCTATCACATAACCTGGTCCAGGGTGTGAGTGGTGCAATATTCTTTGCATTATAACACAGAAAGAAATATAATAGGTGCAATATTTTATGAGCTTACTGGGGGATGAATCTGGGTGGCATTCTATTGGCTGTAATTAGAGCTGTAATGGGGTTTTAATTGTTACTAATCATGTTTATTATGGGAGGGCCTTGGGAGCTACCAACATTACTTCCCTTGAGCTGGTCACTGTGCAAATACGGAGGAGACTCACCCACTCTGTAGCTGTGCTGGGTATGACAGTGGGCAGCTGCTGAGCAGGAAACATTTGTTTTTACAAGTGGCACGGCTCTGCTGAGAGGGTGGGACATTGTCTCCTAAGAGGTAATCTGCATCCTGGACACTGCTATTTACATGGCACGCATCTCCTGAGCAGCTGGAGCCTTCATGATCCTGAAGGATACATTCAGGGTAATGGAATTGAGGTGCAGAGAGGTTATAGGAGGTTAAATGTAGAAATCAGCATCCTTCAG